ATGTTGCATTATGGAAAGATTAATATTCACAAATGTAGCCATTATAAATGTCTCCTTATGTCTCCTTAGGGATGATGTCTTTTTGTCATCAGTTGTGGAAAAAGTTAATTTTGTTAGGGAGGAGTTGGTAAATGAAGATGTTGATTTTCAAGAGAAACTCAAATAAATGCAAACAACAATTTGAAATTTCAACAATAGGGAAGGGAGAACCATAACTAAAAATTTTCTTTCTAAGAATTAGTCTTTCTACAACTGTCAACATGTAGGCACCATCCCTTAACCTGCTGGTAACTGTGTCTGTTGCTGATAGTATACTTTTTGTCACCCTTCTCTGTGATGGTATAAAATACTATGGTATTTAATATGATTTAACTCTGATCTTTTGTATTCTGTCTTTAGCCTGGTGGAAGCTGCTTTACACTTTATTGTATCTTACCATGTCCTCCTTGTGAGGCACACACAAAAATAAATGCACAACTTCAATGGCCTAATACGATAGCCCAATCTGTCATATTTATGTTGATTTGAAGATTTTGATCTGAACAAGTTGCAATCTGTCATATTGGTTTGAAGATTTTGATGATCATAGGGCAGTTCTTAATTGAACAAGTTGCAACATGTTTGAGTTTCATCTTGATGGGAATCAGGGGTCCATTTCATGCTATACCAATATGAACTACATTATACTTGAGAAACAGCCTCCAGGATAGGCAAGAATTGTAGAAATTGGGCATTTACTGTTTGTGTGGGATATGGTACAATTTAAGTAGTACTTAAATGTAGTTGTCGTTATTAACCTGATGCCTCACAGATCTTTTACCAGAAATATTTATTATGATAACATTTTGTAATATCTGTATCTCCTTTATATAAAGGGCAATAAATATATACATAATTACATACACAATAAGTAAAATAATAGACCGACATCAAGTCATTCTATATCTCAAGAGAATGGGAAATGCTATAAGTAGGGGGGGGGGGGGGTGCAAGACTAGGGATTAGAGATTATCACAAATCTAATCTTATATATAGAACTTACACATACATGTGTGTAAGTAAGGCACTCTATATATAGGTTTAAATTAATGAGACCTCAACAAATGTTATAATTAGTATGTGTGTATCTCTTATTCTACCATTAATGATGATGAGTTGTAGGGCTTTTTACAGCTAATTAATCCGATTTGTTGAGCAATCTGTGAACTGTATGTAACCAGTCCCTTTTGAAGTATGGTCTACTTTTTGTACACTGCTTTTTGATATTGCATAAATTAAGTAATTGGCTCACACAGTGAGCCTATGGGATTGACCAGGCGTCTGTCCGTCCGTTGGTCCGTCCGTCCGTTGGTCCGTCCGTCCATCCGTCCGTCCGTCCGTCCGTCCGTTGGTCCGTCCGTCAACATTGGCCGCACAAATTAAAACTGCTATTCGGATTGAGTCATATCCACATTCATTTTACGCATATCCGTAATGCCTATTTGACCTATCATCGCCATTTCCCAAGTTCGCCTGGTTTCCGAGAAATTGCGGATTTTGACGTCAAAAAGTCAAATTTTCTGTAAATACTAGACACTTTGTTGAAGTAGAACTTTCAAATAACTTTTAGTAGTTGGTGTATATGCAACTTATGTCCTCTGAAGATTTCAAAGCTCTTGGAATTACGGTTTTTGGTATTTACTCTGTAAAATTTGAAAAAAAGTAGGACTTAGTCATTTTCAGGAAACTTTCTCATGTATAAAGTCAATGGCAGGTTTTGTGATTGACAAGATTCTTAAAGTTTGCCTTATACTTGATCATTTCCTGCAATAAATTACATCATTAATAGATTTAAGCATTCCCTACATATTTCTCAATATATGTCAGCATCAAATTTTTACCGTTTTTGAGATATTTGACGTCAAAAAACAGTAAAAATAAGTTATTTCTCAACTTGCTTCAATTTGACCAAATTTTTTTTTGAAAATCATCTACAAGTTGCCTGGAGTTCAAATCTGACATTAGTTTTAGTATTTGACCTTTACTTGACCTTCAGTGACCTTCGAAAGCTCAAAAAAGTTGATTTTTCAAATTGATTTTTGGATGTAAATTTTGGTCAGCTTAATCACAAAAGACCTTACTGAGCTCTGAATAAGTAAAATTTTCAAGGTCAAAGGTCAGCAAACTAGGTCACACAACTATGCTATCTAAGTTTCTCAAAGTTCGAGACTACAAATCAAAATCAATATTTTTGTTTGAAAGTCAGGATATAAATTCCTCTGAAGGTTCCAAACTGTGTGAGCATAGGACCGTGGGTCCTTCATTTTCTTAGTGGGAGTAATGGACATTAATGCGTCAGGTAAGATTTGGTAATAATATGAAATTAACATGTTTCACACATACTTAATAAATACATTGTTACATAAAAAGTATGTATGTTCACACAGTAAGTACATGTTTGTAAAGAAGCGACCAACAATTTTGATTTTCAGAGCTATTTGATTTATAAATCCATCTGGGAGTTATTGATAAATTTTTGATAATCATTACATTTTTCAATTTTGTAAAATGCAGTTTGTTTGTAGAAAGAAAGACCTTGATCCCTTCTAATGGTCACAGATATATATTTTTTATTCCTTTATTGACTGTAAACATGTCAGTCTCACAATTGTTTACATGTGTATGTTCAGTATACCTGTTACCAGTCATTGCCCTATACATAAAGGTATTGAGTATGTAATATTGAAACGACCCCTTTTGATACACATTACTAACTTCCAATGACTGGACCCTTTCAAACATTTCAAAAGTATGAAAAAGACATGTAATAATTTTCACTGTGCTGTAAATTGAAAGAGATGCTTTCATGGAATAAAAAATGTTGTCTACGATTATTTTTCCTTTAATAAAAACAAAGAAAGATAATATTATTTCAAATTATTTGAGATTCATTTGCCAGGGGTGTAAATAAACTGGTTGTATATATATCTGACACCATGTTTCTTATATGGTTTATTTGTGTATAGTGAAAACAAAATTTTACACAAAGATCTTAAGGGTATACTTTCACTGTTGACATTGAATAGTGTATGCATAGGAATGAATGAAATATAAACGTAATATAAACTTGTGTATTATAATGTTTTTTTAAACATCTGTGGCTCTTTGATTATCATCCTGTGGATATTTAGAAAAACATCAAACATCAAATTGAGAAAACATCAATTAAATAACAATTTTTTTTATGTGAATGTCATTTTTTTAAATTTTACCTTGAAATCATAAAATTGAAGGTTTTACGCTATGGTGTAACACATTAATACAGGGAATAGGACTTCTTCCAAACAAAGAATAGAAAATGACTGACCCTACAGCCCATTTCACAGTTTTATTTCATCAGTAGAACCCCAAAAATAAGAAATCAGGAGGCCATTGTGCAATAATATGGAAAAGTATATTCATATTGTACATGAATGACATTTGTATATTTCAGATTATTTAGTTTTTTTATGCAATAAGCCTATGCCCTCTTGTTATTTAAAGAATTTCAGTTTATAGAGAGTAAAAAGGATAAGTCTGAATATAAGCCCTTTTGGTCCCTCAGTTAAATGTATGTGAAATATGATTTTTATAACTGTCCTAGTTATATTTGATAAGTATATTTACTTTTTCATGAGTTTTGGTGCACAATTAACTCCCTGCTGCAAGACAAAATAAGTATCCTAACAGAAAAAATAATCATTATCATAGAAAAAACACCAATGTATGACATATAATGAAGAAATAACTTTAAAGACCCATGGAGAATTAAAAAGAAAATTATATTTTTTAAATATGAATTTGACTGAAATATGTATAATTTCACCGACACAATTGAAGTGTCAAAACTGGATGCTCAGTTACTTTGAGTGACTATAATCCCTTGATTACCCAGATAAACACCAATTCACTTATCAAGAAATACCATTCATGTCTATACAAAATAAATAAGCAATGTTTTGGAGGATATGTTTCAAACTTTTTGTATGAATTATTCATTTGGTATTTGCACTTGAATTTTTTTTGATTTGTGTCATAGTGATATGCATTCTCTTTGATGCCAATATTTTTCATTAATTGTGATGCAAATTAATATTTTTGTACTCTCAGAAGGAGGATAAGATATTGAGGTTTCATATGAGTTGGTTTTTTAGACATTACAATTTTCAATATTTTCTAAGTCGATATCCGGACTCATTCCCAGACTCATCCTTTGTATTGATATATGAATTGTCAGATTGCCATTAGTGGATACACCTGTCATTAGGCTCAATTAATCACATTTTGACTTAAAACCCAATTCATTTCCCCTGAAATAAAACAAAACCACTGTGAATTCCTAGATCAGTTGATAAATGCTAGGAATATAAGAATCAAATGTCATCAGGAAATGAAATAAACTTTTATCCCATACCCCCCCTCCCAAAAAAAAACAACCCACAAAAACATGTACTTTCATCGAAGTCAGTATTTAGACCTATATATATTTAGACCTTCCCACACATTGAATACCTTCACTGAACCAATGGACCTTTTCACCTTGTATGCTCATGGGTGCTGTAACTGGCCTCCTAGCTATATTCTGTATGTTATAACTTAACTTCAGGCAAGGTCACTGTACTCATATTATATAACTAATCCAAATGAATTATTTATAAAAGGATTTTAATGTTTTGCATACATACATGTACTCTGGGTTGCATGCATGCATAAACTCAAGGTTAATCTAATGAATATATAAAGAATATATAGATGTACATGTACTGCACATGTTTCATTCATTACGTTTTATATAATCTCTAAATCTGATCTAAAGATGTAACCTTTTTGAGCAGCATTTGGCATTTCAAAATAAGAAAAGAATAAAAGTAATGTACTATATTTTATTTTATTTTTAATGATATTTTTGAAATGACCCCTCATTGAATACCAGCTGATTCTGTTTCAACTGAAAACAGATTCTGCCTTCCTCTATATACATTATATTTGGCAGTCTATTGAACAAGTGCAAGCATGCTATACCTATAACAGGGTAATAACACGGGCCCCGCACTACACACACAATATATCATTTGACTTGGGAATAATACCAATACAAACAAGTGACCACAAGTGGATTTTTCCGTATTGGATGAGTGAGGGAAGTTTATATGTATAGTCACTCAATGAGACTGAGCAAGCTTATTCTGGAATTTTCTTTTTAGTAAATTTCACTAGACCTGGAAATATGACAATAAGAGGTTCAATTAAAAAGGATAGCTATTATTATGATAAAGCACAAGAAGCTGTTGCTTCTCAGAAAAATGTTGAAGCTCTGGCCAATGGTGAGTCGTCAAAAAATGGCGAAGTTCCTGGAAATGGAATATATGTAACAAAATCTAGTGGAAGATTAGCGTCTTTGCATGGTATAGATGTTATTGAAAATGGGGGTGTCAAGCCTGCTTTGGTCCACAGAGAAGGTTCCTTGGTTTATGAAACAGGTATTTTAAAATTCTTTATTGATTCAATACAACTCTTGGCACATGCATTCAACATGTATTGGTTGCATGCTTCATAGAAAATGTTATACCCTAAGCAAAGTTATTTCCATTTATAAACATTGTATATAAGATTTTTGTAGGCTAGACAAATAATGATACTAGGCTTTTTATTAGTGTTTACCCACTCTCGCTAATTTAACACCCTTTCCATGTTAATTTGATTTTGCTTCTTTTGAGAGAGCTGCATCTACATTCTAATAGCTGCATCTATATACCCTACATTCTAATGTGCTAGTCTCTTATACTCTGGTAATTTAACTTATTTAGTACCAATTGAAAGTAATTTTATATTTATAGTTTCAAGCCACTATAAAGCAGGTGATATGGTCAGCTTTTTGTAATATGATCTTATTTGAGACCAGTATATGTTTATACAATACTCTGGGTTATTACTTTTTTGTCAAATCTTGAGCTGTCTGTCCACCTGTCTGTCAATGTGACATTTCTATAACAAAAGAAAACACCTGTTAGCAAAAGTTTCAGTTGAAATGAGCTTTTTAGGTGTTTTTTAACAATTGTTACATTAAATTCAAAATTACAAAGTTACAACTAATATCTCTAAGTCTTGACAAAAATCCACTTTTATCCCAGAAATGCCACTTTTACTTATGGATGAATTAATGACATCATTGCCATTTAGATGCGCATATATTTAAATATAGCTGAATGGTTGTTGTAGACTGAAATTTCTTCACTGTGTCATTGCCAAGTTCACATGTAATAGCACTATTTGTTTAAGATGCTTCCATTTACCTTGAGCAAAGTATACATGTTTGTATTCATTTATGATATGTCCATTATGTTATTTCTCAATCATTTTGCAATTATAGATGACTAATTTTAGGCTTTTAGTCATCGGCCTATCAATGATGGTATGATCCCCATAATCAGGAAATAATACATTTATTGATATACCAATTAAAATAAACTATAGTTTTAGGCAACCAATTCAAGGGAAATATTGATTGTTAAGCTAAAATGTGATACTTTACTGATTTTTAAGTCAAACAACAAACAGGGCTTAAGGAAAACAGGTTGAAACACACCATTCAAACCAGTATGGAACTGGTCTAAAACCGGTATGTTTCAACTGATCACTTCAGTCAAAGCAATACTTATTGAGAGTAAACACTTTTCATTCAGTTCACTGAAAATATGCATCAGTGCATAATAAAGATCTTAAACACTAGGCCCATTTGAGGAGGGCTCTGAATATGACTTATAGTGTTAAATATGTCAAATAATATATGAATTATACCAAAGAGGTAATACCACATAAGTGGTAAACAAAATAATAATACAACATCAGCAGGAAGAGCCAATGTTGATGCTGAAATAATGTTATATTAATAAGCCTAATATCATGTGGATGAACTTCCATGTGCTTGATACATGTCTTATGCAGTCTAGCACGCAGCCCCATTGAAACGTGAATATTAATGCAAAAATGCCATACTGTATATCAGAGCATATCCCTGGATCAGTCTAAATTCATTGAAATACCTGGAAAGATCAGGAGACAAGGAAAATTGGCTCCCAGAGTGCAGCATCGATATTCTGTACCATATGATACAAAATTTGAACTCGAACAGCTGCCATTTTGTTCACGTCAACATTTGAATCGTGAATTTTGGTCTTACTTCCTCACAAAAAATTCCAAAACTCAAATGAAATGATCGAAATATTGGTTCAAATCTTTTGAACTGTTTATTTTGTTGTTAATTTCAGAAAATGATGACATTTCGACTTTTTCATTGTTTGGAAATATCGAGTTTCGATCATGGGATCCAATCTTCTTTGATCAGGGTCACTTTGAGATAGCTCTTTGATATTGTATACTTTGAATTTTAAACCTACAATAGACTTGAGGTACTTTTAAGTCACTTTGACATACTGAAATTGAATTATTGAAAATGACAACTTTATCATTATTTTGCCTTACTATTGAACATTTAATGCTGGGGAGATACTGGTCCTATCAAGCTAGATGTTGTGTTACAATACTGAAAGCACTCGCCAAGTTTTTTCTAGAATGTGGCAATATTAGAATAATAACCTGTACACAGTTTAATTACCTCTGTATTATATATGAAGTATATAAAAACATCATCGATGTGGTGGATTCTATAGATATTGTGTAATAGTATAGTTTCCATATAGCTTTTGAAATCTCGCTAAATCTCGTTTTTCGTGAGATTTTAAGAGACTTGCATATTAGACCTCTAATGACTTACATTACCTTCTTTTAAATGGTATATTTGAATTCAGTGGAATGTTTTCTCCTAAAATAGCTTTGATTTACACAGTTATGTAATTTGAATAATTTTCTATGACAATTTAAAAAAAGTTGGGCCAAATGTCCATAGATGCAATGCTAAAATTCTTTAAAACCGTGGATTATTTGTATGTCAATCAACATTAGCATGTTTAATCACAACATGTTCATAAACAGGAACATCATGTGGTATATCATTCAAGTTTTATACAGATTCAACAAACACACTTTGATAAATCATGAAATTAAGCCACTTTTCCAAGATTTTAGCATGTAAGTGAATGGAGCTCTAGCCAGAGTTAAAAGCTGAATAAAAGATGGCAGCACGAGATTTCATTGATTTTTCTGCTATTTAGAAACTATCCTATTGCATGACGTCAGAGGTCTAACTCCTTTAAGCGGTTCACTTAAAAATAAATGCTTTCATCAAAACATTATTATTCATGCATATAACATACATGGGGATGAACACATCAGTTTGTTAACTATAGCTTGAAATCAAAGAAAAATTCAAATATGGTTCTCCCAGAAGTTAGAACCATACTGGACACATATTACCAAGACAAAGAAAAAGACAATGAAGTTATCTCTGGAGGATATAACAATTACAGTTATAAGGATGAGTATGACAGTATCGCACCCGAGAGAAATTTCTATATATCAGCCAATGGTCAGCCATTTGTGAATAAAACTGACATTGATGCAAATAATGGAAATGTGGTTTGCAATGGAATTCATGTCACAGAATCCAGTAGGACATTAAGTATAAGTGACAGTGAATCATCATTTCCAAGATGCATATCCCGAATGCCGTCTATAATCTATGAAACAGGTAGGATCACAAATGCGATACCCAAACACCCTTTGTATAGACCTTTCCAAAGTGCCAAGATAAGAGGGAGTCTGGTAAACCAGAATGATAGGATCAAAATAATTATCCCAACGAACGAAGTTCGGTAGGGATATAGTGAAGCCCTCTGTCCGTCAGTCCGTCCGTCCGTCCGTCCATCCGGAAGATAACTCAAATAAGAGTTGACGGATTTTCTTCATTTTTAGTGGAAAGATGTATATTGGTGAATAGTTGTACGCAAAAAAAAATTTTCAAGATGGCCGCCGCTTTAAAAATGACGGGAGTTTTTCACAAAAACCATAAATTTTTTCATTCTAAACCAAAGTAATTAATATTATTGTTTGAAATTTTGATAGTATATTCGCAACATCTATCTATTTCACATATATTCCGTGTTTTTCATCCTGACCCCAGGGGCCGTGTATGGGGGAGTCAGGAAAACAGTAATTTTCGCTAATTTTTAGATCTTTCTGAAGTATAGCTTTATTATACTCAAATGAAAGGCAATTAAGAGTAGATTGCAAATATTGTATCTTTTTTCTGATTCGAGCCTCGTAAAATTCAAAATGGCCGTCTAATGTACGATTTCGCAATAATTTTTCGATCCCTTCAAAGTATGGCTATATTATACTCAAATTGAAGGAATTTTGGAGTAGATCACAATTATGGTATTATTCTTCAGATTTGTACCTCAGAAAATTCAAAATGGCTGCTTTGCAGGAATTCGCAATTCTAAAATCTAAATTTTTCAATTTTAACCAAAGTAATAAGTTTAATTGATTGGAATTCGGTAATTGATATTTTGTTCTTGGGATTTGCTACTCCGCCGAGTTGCCATTGTCTAGTTAACATCTTTGAAAAAAGTAATATTTTGAAAAAGTATTATCTTATGACTAGAAGTAATGTGTTTGTCTAATACAGATTAAAGAAATGTCATTTTTGTGCTTTCATCCTCAAATTGATTTCATATTTGAATGCTGATAATATAGAATAAGTATTTATTTATCAACTTTTGATAATCCCACCAAATGAAGTTTGTCTAGGGATATAGAGAAGCAGTTCATCTGTCCATCATTTGTCCGTCCATCTGTGTGTTCGTCCGTCCATTATAGGTTTATGCTTGATGGGTGTAGGACTTCTTCTAGAGAATTCAATATGGCTTCCATTTTCATAAAAAATGTAATCTTTGATAACTCAAATACTAGTTGACAGATTTGGTTCAAATTTTATATGCTAATTGTATTGTATTTTGTTTACCTCCAATGAAGAAGAGCAATACCTCTTGGGTTTATCCTGTATAAATATGGTCTGCCCGAAGTTATGCATGTATAGGTAATCATGGAAGGCAGACTCAGGAAGCCCTCCTTGGAGCTGCCCTGTCAACCCTCACGCATTAGGCGTGATTGTCACGCATTTGCTGGAAAAATAGAAATCACGCATCATTTTAGTGTGTATGATCAAATATCACGCATATCACGCATTTTTTTTTTTTTATATTGTTTTTTGTGAAATTGCGACACGGTAAAATACAGAACGGCGAAAAAAAGCGAACGCATTCCGTTCGGTCTTTGCACGCGATTGCCGTTTATGTCACGCATTTGGTACAAAATATGTGTATATATTACGCATTTGTTTCGAAAATATTCGATATAGTTTTACGGGTGGATTAATGCCAAGGGACAAAAGAGCTTTGATCAACTAGAAAGTTTTAAGATGGCCACTGAATTTCAAAATGGCCACCATTTTTCATTAGAAAACATAGTTTTTGATAACTCAAATATCAGATGATGGATTTGGTTTAAACTTTATATGCTG